ATATTCACTCATCATGACAGTAAAATAGGGCATTCTAAGTCAATATACTGCAGTATTTCCTCTCTCAATCAGTAGAAAATATGGTTAACACCCGGTCATGCATGAAAAAAATACCGTCATGTACCATGAAACCAGTATAATTTTGAAAAATACCGTGATATAAATTTTTGGTCATACCGCCCAGCACTAAGCATAAGCATGTAATTAATAGTAGAAGTATGGTTTTTGAAAAGCATATGTTAAAGTTGATTTTCTCTCATGTGCTCGCAGTAACAGAGATGCTAGTCAACGTGTTAAACATCTGCTCAGATGATGAGCTCATGTCAGAGGGAGATGACACATGTGAAGGTAAGAACACGTAAAGCTGTTTTTCTGAACTTCTTGAGCTTCCTCTTATGGATGGGTCTGTGTTTGGAGGTTTTGCTGCATTGTAGTATTTTTTTTTAACCCCCAAATAAATTCAGTTAAGTTGAGCCCCACTGTGGTCTGAGGTTGGGGATATAAGCAAAAAGTTACACTACCGTTCAAAATTTTGGGGTCGGTAAGATGTTTTTAAAAGAAGTCTCTTATGTTCACCAAAGCTGTGTTTATTTGGAGAGAGAACAAAAAAACTAAATTCAGTAATATTGTGAAATATTACAGTTTCAATAACTGTTAATCTATCTGAATCATTCTAATATGATGATTTGCTGCTCAATAAATGTTTCTTATTATTAATGTTAAAAACAGTTGTGCTGGTTTTATGAAAACCATGATACATTATTTTTCAGGATTCTTTGTTGAATAGAAAATTCAAAAGAGCAGCATTTATTATAATCAATTTAAAGCATTCTTTCTGAATAAGTATTACATTTTGAATGGTAGTGTATTTCACAAAAATAAATTGTATACTATATACCACCTTGAAATGTCTATTCAGGAACTTCAATAATGATGTAATAAACATTTACTTCAATTAAAATGTAAAAAAATGTGCTTCGTTAACCTCATCACTTAAATGTCTCCTTTCTTCCCTTTCTTTTGTCTCCTCGATATGGATTTCAACTCTGTTAAATATATACCAGCATGCCCCTCTTCTCATCAAATAATAGTTCTCTGATTAGTGTGTATTAGTCCTCAGCGAATAACCCGTATATTTCTATTTAGGACACTATATTCTTGTGTGCAAGTTGCTTTAAATACAAACTCCACATTAATTGTGTGATTTAAATGGGCTTCCTGCTCTATTGTTCAACCTGTTTTATGGCTATATAACACTTCAGAGAAAGGAAGTGCATAAACGGGGCTTGTTTTATACTTCATGAATGCCTTCAAATCACGTTCTTTTTGTTATCAATTATTGGTGAATTATATGTATTGCCAGTGGTGGACAGTAACGAAGTAGTTTTACTTCGTTACTGTACTTACAGTGGGTACGGAAAGTATTCAGACCCCCTTAAATTTTTCACTCTTTGTTATATTGCAGCCATTTGCTAAAATCATTTAAGTTAATTACTTTTACTGGAGTAATATTTTATTATACGGATCTGTACTTTTACTCAAGTACTTGATTTGTGTACTTCGTCCACCTCTGTGTATTGCTAACCGTCTAACCAAACATGCATTGCCCTTAGTGGCTTACCTGAGCTGAGACAACCTGTATTTCCATTCAGTCACTTCAGTAATTTAAAAAGTATTACTGTTCTTAACGCAAGAGCCATGAAGTACAGTGATGCCTCTTCTGCTGTAATGAAACCAGATGAACCCGTTCTGAACGCCCCCACTCCACTTCTGAGGAGCTGTCAGGAAGGAATACAGTGTCCCATTTACTGGTCTTGATGCCCATTTGATTTGTCCTTCTTTTTTTTCTTTTTTTTTTTGAATGGTGCATAATTATAACTTGGCCTGACACACTTCCTCTCTGTGTCTGTGAGCCTTTGAGTTTTGAAATGAGGTTTATTTATTCTTTATGGGAGTTCCGGATGAAATGGCTCATTTGATCTGGAGTATGTATGACTCTTGCCATCAGATAGGATTAGTGTGCAGGTAATGATGTTGATTATCTTTTGTTCTGTATAAAAGTAGTTCATAAAATGTACAAGGTTTCAAGTTGACAAATATACAGCAAAATTATTCCCATCAATAAAACGATACCCTAACATTCCCTCACTCTGTTTTTCTTTTGCTCTGTCCCTCCCAATTTGTGCATGTTTATGGCAGGTGGCACCCCGGCAGTCCGCAAGGAGGCACTCACTTTGTTTCTGTCCCGCCTCATCCCGCATCTCTGCCTCTCTCACGGTGCAGCACACCCATCATCGACTTGATCGAAAGTGATATCGTTTAAAGAGGGGGGAGATTTTACAAGGGTTTGGTCATGAAGGGGATTTCAGTCAACACGTTTCAGATTTTCTGTCCCGACGGACTTTAAAAACTTCCAAGCACCGCTGAGATTGTAGCAAGTGCCAAGGAGCTGCTGTGGGTGGTGCTTTCACAGTGAGAGGGGCTCCTGTGAGCTTATGACTATGACGCAATATGACCCAATTTAACCAGCGCCTGTCGGTGTGATATGCTGCTTCTCCCTGCCTTCACTGTAAAAACTCATCGGCCTGCTGCATCCTGTTGCCCTCCTACTAACAACCACATTAACATGGTCAGGTTTGTTTTTGATGAAAGTAGGTGAATTTAAATTTGGTATGATTCAGAATGTTGTATAATATATAACATGCTGCACATACTAGGGGTTCGGGATTTGAACAGATCTGTAACCCTAAAGGTGCAGTCATATTAGTGAAATTTCAGCAAAAAAGGCTCATGTTCTGTTTTCAAAAGTGTAGCAATGTTTGAAGTACTGCACAGAAGTCACTTTTAAACCAAGCAACTTTCTGTTTATCAGCGTGGCGAGTTCTGCTTGGGCAACCTTTTTTTCCCCTCTCACATGAAAGTTCTGATCTTGTGGGTTCCTATTTAAAAATTTAAAATTCCTCAAAGCAGCAGTAAATGTGACTGCACCTTAGCTTTGGTGTCTCTAACAATGTTTGTGTTGAAAGACTGATGCATCAAAATTGTGCTATTATTTTTCGGCGTGTTCAGACTTCAGGTTTTCAAGTCATATCTATAGTATCGTACAGACTTGAGGGTTGACCTCCAAAAGGGTTTGGGTTTGGCTAGGGTTTAATAAAGAGTATTTAAAATATTCCAAATATTGCATTATACCATTTTATTTTTTTACACACAGTGTTTCACACATTTATAGTTGAAATCTTTAATGTAGTTCAAAGGTTTGGGGTGAATTTTACATTGTTACTAACAAAAAAATCTTTCAAATAAATGATGTTCTTTTAAGCTTTCTATTCAAAGAATACTTAAAAAAGTATGGTAATATTAACAAAAATATACCGTTTTTAACGTTGATAAGAAATATTTTTTGAGCAGCAAATTAGCATATTAGAATGATTTCTGAAGGATCATTTGACTCTGAAGACTGGAGTAATGATGTTGAAAATTCAGCTTTGCATCACAGGAATAAATTAGATTTTAAAATATATTAAAATAGAAACGTTAATTTAGGTTTTAATCATATTTCACAATATTACTGTTTACTGCCTTGAACAAAAGAGACTTTAAAAATTATTAGTGGGAAATGCACTTCCAAGGAAATTTTAATACTTGGAGATCTGTGGCATTAAACATTTTTGGAAAGCCCATTTCTGTAGGTCATATGTCAAGGCACAATGAACTACAACGTGGTCTTATGATTGTAATGTGTTGGTGGTGCACTGGGGAGGGGATGTAAATAAAAGGATTCTTCAGTAGCTGAAAATAGAAATATAGCGACACATCGCTCAAAGCTGTCTTGCCGCTCATCTTCCGGTGATGGCCACAAATAAACTGCCATCATGCATACACGCTACATTGCTTGGCATTTTTTACAGAGAAACCCTCTCCTTTTTTGGCTATTGTATACCTTCAGCTTTAAAAATAGACTAGATCCATGTCAAGAGTAGTTCAGAAAGCCTTGCGTCTCAGATTCAAAAGCCCAGTTTCTCAAAAACAAACCTGACCAGGAAAAAACAAGTCTTGAAATCTGTTTATGTTCTGGATGAAGCAACTAAACTAACCTCTGTTTTTTTCCTGTGTGTCATGTGAAGCGTTCGGGCTGGTGTTGGGAGGGGAAGATGAATGATTGGGAAACAGGGAGTAAGGGGGGAAGCCAGAGACTGGGGTGTGAGCAGACCACAGCATGAGACTGAATCTTTGTTTTTATCAGTTTCACTTCCTGACCAAAAAGCACACAAATAAACTCCGATCTAGGCCTGTTTTTGCCTTTAATGTCAGGCTTGACGTGGGTACATCAGCGTTTCTGGTTAATGTTATCTATACTAGTCAAAGCTTTACTGTACACCCTCAACTTCTCTTTTTCTCGTCGCAGCTGGTTGATTGGCTGACTGGTATATTTAGCTTTATTTCAGCAACCTTTTTTGGCTGCTCTTTGGGGAAGGACAGCCCTCTGTAGTCATGCTACATTTAGTGACTGGAAATGTTAATATCTAATAAGTTAATGTTGGGATGTAGGGCTGCTTGATTTGGGGAAAAAAATTAATTGCTTTTTCTTTTTTTTTTTAATTAAGCTCCAACTATTCTGTGCTTTGTGATTTAAATATCAATATGACTATATAATAATAAAAATAATAAAAAGCTGCGCAAGGATACCAGTAACACCCAAAACAAAACCGAACTTTGTCATTGCTAAATGTCACTTCATAACCATTATCGTTAACTAACGTCCTGCTTCCATACTTCCAGCCATCCAAGGCTTCAACCCTCAACACAAGATCCAAAGCTTCGAGGAAGCACGCGGACTGGACCGGATAAACGAGCGAATGCCTCCACGCAAGGACACCATGCAGCCTGACGGCACTGCCAACTCCATCAACGCAGCCAATTCCCCCGACAAGAACGGCACCAACGCACAGGCGTAGTAACCCAGCAGCTACCCTAACGCTCTCCCTCATCCTTTCCTTTCTCTCTCTCTCTTTTTTTTCCTCTGTCTCTCCCTCTGTTTTCCTCTTATTCTCTCTCTTTTTGGTAGAGGTGATGCCCCCTACATGCAAAACTCTCCAGGACCATTTTGGGGAGATTCGCACAATACCATGAAGAGGACGTAGTAAAAAACAAACCATGGTTCTTATTTATTTACTGATATAGATGATAAGAAATGTAAGATCTGTAATGGTGGGAAAATTGAGATGAATGAATACGTACATGATGAATATTACAAGTGTATATAAAATACAGAATATATATATATAGACATAGCATTGGGGTGGTTAAGGTCATCTTAGATTCAGTAGTTTAAAAAAAAAAACAAAAAAAAAAAACAATCAATTTTGTAAATTTACGTTTATAAATTAGACTTCTTTCTGAAAATTTTTTTTTTTTTAACAACCAAGATTTGCTCAGCAGAATTTCTTTATCATTGTTTGTGCGCTTGGCAAAATAATTCTTGACCCAGCATAATTATATAGAATGCTTATTTGTGAATAATACCCAAAGCGAGTATGATAATTGTTGATGCAAAACAAAACAAAAAACATTTTGGTATTGAAACAATATGTGGAAAAATGCCTTCATAATGCCAATTATAGCTAAGATGAGTGCATTAATAACAAGTGTTGACACGTGTATATGTATAAGTACATTTTCAAGTGTTCCCTCAACCAAATGTCGTTTACTTTGTTTCGTTTGTTTTCTTTTTCCTGTTCATAACTCAAACTACACCAATTTGTAATTAAAAAGGTGAAAAAAGCAAAAACCATCCCAGAAGTTTCGCAAGATGGTTGGAGAAGCGATTATGTCTGCATGTTTTTGTTTACTTTCTCCATCCATTTTGTAGTCAGTCAAACTTGAATCGGCCTCTACCGTAATTTTGCACACTTTTAGACCTTTCGACGTTTTGCATATACCACAGTGGTTAAAGGCATGTTTTAACTGCCATGAATTAATGCTGACTTTATCCTATGATATTTATCCTATGATATGTGCGTTAAATGTGATTGGATGAGGTGGATGTTAAACATCTCAGAAAATGAGCATGCATGCCTTACATCTTGCGTCTCATCTCGGCTAAAGTAACGCATATGAAATTTGTGAAACCAAATTTTTTTCTATTGCTACTTTAAAAACCCATATAATTGTATTTCAATTTATGTACTTAATGTACCTATAATAGTTTGCATCAGCATTATCTTCAGCGCTAGTGTTTCTATAGCTGAGCTGTGCGCTCTTCTAAACGCCTGTATTCTCTAGAGTTGACCATTTTCCACGCATATGATTGACTGAAGCATCATCTTTGCATTTATCTGAAGCAAAGGAACGCTATTTTGATTGCTTTTACTGTACTGTGTGTTTTGAGAATTAAGGACATGATTTGCAAGAACTGTTTACCAAATCGTCTTTTCAAACCTTTTGTTTTCTGTACCATTATTGTTGCATAATAATCCGGTGACTGGAGATTTCGCTGCGCAAAGACTCAAACTTCTTGTGCGTTATACATTTGAGGTCATGTGCCATGCTAATAACTATTGCAAGAGTTCTGTGTGCAGGCATCGAGACTGTCGCTCACATGTATTTTCCATTCTTTTTTTTTCTTTTTTTTTTTAACGCTGCAAGCAGTTCAGGGTCTGTATTTCTTGCGCAATACTTTACATGGTGCACATCTTAAAACAAGACTTGGCGAGGGTAAACCTGCATGTTATCATCACTGTATTTAAAAGTAACTCATCCAAAGACAGTTCAGTGTTTTAATGTAATATATGGCTTTATTATTAACAAAAGAAAAAAACAACAACTGCTGATTGTATATGATCGTTGCCTCTTCATTTGCTTGAGAAGAGGCGAGCACTCAATCGGCGATGTATTCCTGTAGACACTGTAAAGAAAAAAACCCCGCCTCGGTTAAGTTACCGCTTTACTCTTTGCGATATAAAACACCTGAGAGAGGCCTACAACCTTTAACCGGTACCAAAAGATGATGAGAAGACATCATGACCACCTTTTCGTGTCCTCTTTTTAAGTGTTCGTCTTTTCAAGTTTTGTTTTATGTAATGAGCCTCTGCAAACTATTGTTTTGTTTAGTTTCCTTCATTTTTAATTTAAAAGGGGATATCTGGTGTGACAGAGTCAGAGGTTTCAGGTGGGAGGGTGGGTTTCGTTTGATATGGGAGAGGAATTGGGGCGTTTGGACCACTAACCCCATTTTAGGAGGGCTTCTGTTACTAATTCCAAACATATCTTGCAGAATCTACAGAAAATGTTTGACATTCTCCATTAAAAAAAAGAAAAACTAAAGTAAATATAAAAAAAATGTTGGGGGAAAAAAAAATGGTGTTGTTTCTTTATTTGTCTGTTTTGAAATGTGTGTTTTTGTAAATTGGACTGTTTCCAGATTCTTCACCCACTATATTGCATCTGCTTTTACCATTCAAGCTGCTGGTTGATGGCAGACTCGTGTTTTGTGAGACTGGCTTTGTCATTTTCTCTTCTTTATCCATGTCTGTGCTCGTCAAGGTTTCCTATGATTACGACGTTCACGTTTTGAACATTCTGTGCTTGAAGGACAGCTAGCGTATTGTTACCTGTCTGAACACAGCCCACACATACACACGCATGTCGGGCGAGGCTGAGATTGAATGATATTTGTGCTTGAGATGAAGAATGCACTGCAAGACAGTGTTAACTAAAACTATTCAAAATAAAATATTCGATGAAAAAGAAACTTAAACTTACATTTGAAATGTTGCCTAAGCGTCTAATTGAAATTAAATGTATATGCATGCATGTATGTTTAAACCTCATTTATTTTCTTTATTTTAATCTGATTCAATGTGGTATGTTCATGTTGTTTATGTCCTTAACAAGAGGTCATAATCTGAAAAGCTCAATTTTCAAGCCCGACGGTCTTGTTGAATGGCATTTTAGACTAGTTTTCTCAACTTCACACATACTCGTGTGAAGAATGTAGCTGAATACCAAATAAAATCACACTTCTGTTTTATTGAAAGGCCTTGAACTGAAGCACGCACCACAGAATATTTTAGAAGTGCCTGTTCGATGCGATTTTAAAAAGCCTGCTCGTTTCCAACCAAGCTGAAAAATTCCCAGAAATGCTAAAAGGATGAATGTCAGTTTCTTATTAGCTGTCAGCACATCATGTGGAACATGCAGTGAACGTCCTGCAGGAAAACAAACCACTCACCTCATTTTAAAAATAGATTTATTAACTGCTAGTTATTTTACCTAACCGCTCAACCCAGTTATAATTGCAATTATACACAAGTGTTTAATTAGTATGTTAAAACTATAAGCTCTTTTCATGTGAGGGTGAAAAATAACACAAATATGATAATGTGTAATTTAAATGTACTTTAGAGCCCATGAAGTCATTTTTACTGGATCGCTGAATTAATATTGGCTTATTTGACCTGATCTGTTTGTTGATGCAGCAGTCCTGTCAGAAACAAGTTTTCCAGTTACTTCCACTCTCTCTGGAGAATAATACTATGTATGAATCATGAATTTGATTGGAAATTAGATGCGCTCCTAAAAATAAAAGTTCTCTGTTGGTTTCTGTTGTACCATGAAGAACCTTTAACATCTATGGAATCTTTGTAAGGATTTTTACACTCTTGAAAACAAAGGTTCCAAAAGAGTTTTCATAGCGATGAAATAGAACAGGGGTGTCAAACTCAGTTCCTGGAGGGCCAGAGCCCTGCAGAGTTTAACTAAACACACCTGATCCAACTAATTAAGTACTTCAGGCTTATTTGAAAACTACATGGTATGTTTGTTGGACCAGGGTTGGAACAAAACCCTGCAGGGCTCCGGTCCATATTGAGTTTGACACCCCTGAAATAGAAGAACCTTTTTTGGTTTCTCAAAGAACCTTTCAGTGAATAGTTCCTACACGCACCACTTTTTAGTGTGAAGAACATTTTAATAAGCTGAAGAACCTTTTTCCACTTTAAAGAATCTTTTGTGGAATGGAAAGGTTCCTTGGATATTAAAGGGTCTTTGGCACCATCAATGCAGATAAAGAACCTTTATTTTCAAGAGTGTATGTTTAAAATGTTCTTCACACTAAAAAAAAAAAAAAAACGATTTGTAGCAGCTGTTCACTTAAAGGTTTTTTGGGGAACCATAAATGTTCTGTGGTATGCTGAAATGTATTTTTTTGTTTTTTTTGAGTTTAGTCATTAGAACTGTACAGATGCAGGCAGTTACTATAGAAAAACACATGGGTATAAACTATAGTGTGTTAACCCTTGTCCAAACTGGGCAAAAGCCCGTTTATGCTTGATTTCATTTGACAACTTGCAACTCTTGCATATTTCCTTCTGCATAATATATTTGCTTTTAATTGCATCAAAGAATATTTAAATATGACATCATGGTCAAGCATTTATACAGCATGTTTTTTTTTTCCCCTCAGACTTTTTCAACCTACATTTGAACAGTTACTAGTGTAAAAAAAAAAAGTTCAGTTAACTAGGTCATCTCTCTTCCATCATTTGCATAGCCTCAGGAGAACGAGATCAGCATTGATGCTGTATAATGGTGATGCTGGTGGTGTAGCAGTTTTAAGATATGAAGCCACATCTTTTACCTTTTGTTCTTTATTACAAAGGCAGCTGAGTGACTGCGAGTGATCTAGTATGTCCATCCTGCTGGTTTCTCTAAATACTCTTGAATTCGATTGGATTAGTCAGCAGTGAAACTCAAGCGAGTGGAGCGCGCCCTCTTTTTGAACTGAGGTGTTGCAGGGTCACAATGGTGGCTTTACAGTGCAGTTAACATCGCTTTCTGTAGGTACGTAGGTGGATTGGAATGGTAATTCAGGCTCGTTGCTGGTCAGGATTGTGGTCTTTTGTTGCTGTGAATTGCTTCACAAGCTCATTTTTTATAATCTGAAAGCACATTGTCC